CAAAATATATAGCGAAAAATCCAAAAGTATGTTGTGAATTGGTTTTCTATTAGCGTATTTATGTATGAATATTAGGTTTGTTGTTCTGGGCTCTCTGAAAGTTGTGGTGATTGCTGCATTTTGTATTGTCTGTAATTTCTTAATTTGCGTTTGTGCTACATTAGTCCATACAATGCGGAGAATAAAGATATTACTGCTGTTTAGGTTTTCCGCTCTTTTCTGATTTAAACCATTTAACTTCCAGTTTATAATAGGGTTAGAATGAGCGCTTTAGGACATTTTTAGGACATTTCTTACTTCTTGATGTAGAATATAGTTTTCTGTAGAAGCAAAATTCAAGGTTATCAATAAAGTTAATGTATTAAAAGTACCAAATTCAGACAGTAGAGATCTTGACCACATTTTTACTGTGAAGTTGAACAAGAAGTGACGCAACTGCTCTGCCATTTCTCCCTCGACTCGACTACTACAACTCCTCACTTCCGATCCATTTCCCCCGTCTTACAACAATTTTCTTGGAGAATGAACGCTATTGAAAACCCTTGCAGAGATTTTGCTCATTTGTAGTCAGTTTGTGCGAGTTTTTCGCGTTTTTAAGAGTAAAAAAGAATGAGGAGTGCAGTCTTTTTAAAATAACTTACAAATTTTTTACGGTAACACATTTAAAGTGCATTACAAGAGCATCAAAAAGAAAGCCTATTATGAACAGAGAGTTAACTTTTACTTGTATACTTTCATCGGATCTGTCGGGCTTTCACTAAGGGCAGAGCTGGGTATGCAATCTGCCACTCAAAAAATTAATCAAATTGCACATCCACTTAATTTTATTTAAGAATCGATAACATTATCTGGTGTAGTACTGCAGAGTTAAGAAATGAAGATGATGAAAAACTCATCATGTGAGGAAAGTTTGTTTTGTATATGTCAAAATCGAAGACACTACTTAGTGTGGCACTACAAGATCAATAATTTAGGATGATGATTAAGCACCATATGTTTTTTCAAGTCAGGTATAAAAGGCACTACCTAGTATAATTCTGTAGAGTGAATGATTTATCATCTTTTGTTAGTTCTTCCATATGTAGAAATGCAGAAGCTGTATTTTAAAACAGTGATTGACCCAAGGCTGTGTAGCAAATTGTTGGTCCAAACACCTGATATTAAGAGTTTAGACCGAAATAAAAACGTTATAATTTACAAGGATAATAAAGACCAGATGGAAATTGTTTACTCAAGTAATACTAGTTCTTTTAAAGCAAGCTCAAAATCTTCAGATTTTAACTGTGTCTCATTACCGTACAAAACGATACAAAACCAATACTCGACACTGGATAGCTGTTTACTGGATAGCCTCTGCATGATAGATGTTGTTTGTGATTATATAAATAAACATCAAACCAGACCAATCCCTCAATGTAAAACCACCCTTAGTTCTATCCTATATTATCCACTTAGCTGGAATGATGAGAACTGATGTACTCCTCGAACACTGATGTACTCCTCGAACTGAAGATCTGAGCTGCATAGTATATTGGTTTTAGTGTTAGAAAGGAGCTTGTAAATTTCTTCTTTCGCTACGTTACTTTCAATAAAATTTCAAATATGAATTGTCACACTGATCAACTGATACAGATAAATCAGGAACGAAATATTAAACAATAAAGGAGTTTTAACGTCGACGAAGACAACATAAAAGTTTGCTACTAATATATGTTATATACAGACTTAGAGAAATATGAGCATTTTATATTAAGTTCATGTATACAATGCGTTTAAATACACTTTTGTAGTCGTGAGAAAGAGAAACGTGCACGCGGCTTTAAACAACGTTGTTTTTGT